TCTATATTAACTCACTTAATCTTCACAGCAATCCATGGGATGGAAATTTTCTCCATTTTACAAATGAGGAAACTATGGCCTAGAGAGGTTGAACAATTGCCTAAAGTCACAAAACTAGAAAAGTATACCTACCAGAACCTAGTCAGTCTGTGCTCTTAAAATGGTTTAAGAATGCTTATCTTTATTTAAATTGTTAATCAATTGTTAATAAAGAGGGGCATCTGGGTGGTTTAGTCATTAAGCAACTGCCTTCAGCTCAGGAGTCCTGGGATCAAGCCCCATACCGGGCTCCCTGCTCAGCGGGGAGCCTGCTTCTCCCTCTCCAACTCTCCCTATGTTCCCTCTCGTGCTATGTTTCTGTCAAATAAATAAATAAAATCTTAAATAAATAAGTAAATAAACTGTTAATAAAAAAGAAAAGATTAGTGCATATGTCCCCCTACCTCCTTTTTTGTCTTTTGGTATGATTAGTCTTCATTCTTCTTTCTTTTCGTGTCATTTTTATATCCTTTTATGCAAAACTGTTTCCTTCTGGAATGAGCACAACCATATAAATGTATCTCGGAATCATCTGACCTGTGAGTCATGAGGGGAGTGACAAAGTTTGTGGTATTTGTGTGCTTAAGTATCTCTAGTGAGGGGTGTATGAGTGGCTCAGTCAGTTAAGTGTCAGGTCAGGATCTCAGAGTTGGGATTGAGCACTGCATCAGGCTTCACACTTAGTGGGGAGTCTGCTTGAGACTCTCTCTCCCTTTCTGTCTGGCCCTCCCCCCGCTCTCTCTCAAATAAATAAATGAATCTTAAAAAAAAATTCTAATGAAAAGCTAATTTGATGATGTTTTATATATTAGTGCATAATTATCTAGGCTGCTTTTTGTCTTTTTATTAGATGTCTTCTCCCAGTGGTGAGATGAATTACCAGAGTCCTTTATCACTTTCTAAGCCGAAAGAGAAGTCTGTTCCCACACCTGGATCAGCCCAGATGACTTCAAAGTCTTATCATAAAGGGGAGAAAGAGATGGATGACCCAAAAAATTGCAAGAAGAGAAAAGCCTTAGATTTTTTGAGTAGAGTGCCTTTACCTCCACCTGTCAGTCCCATCTGTACATTTGTTTCTCCAGCTGCACAGAAGGCATTTCAGCCACCACGGGCTTGTGACACCAAATATGAAACACCTATAAGGAAGAAAGAGTTGAATTCTCCTCAGATGACTCCACTCAAATTTAATGACCTTTCCCTTTTGGAAAGTGATTCAATAGCAGATGAAGAACTCGCACTGATCAACACTCAAGCCCTTTTGTCGGGTTTGGCAGGAGAAAATCAACTTATGTCTCTCAGTGACTCCACGAGGACTGCTCCTGAGAACTTAAAAGATTATGTCAGGCCAAAAAGGCATTCTCTGGCATCTGGGGCAAAAGGATGCTGGAGCCCCCAAGCCCACACCGAAGAGCGGGAGACCAGTGTGCAAAACCTTGCAAGTCCTGTGAAAAGGGCATCTGTGAGACTGCAAAGGCGACAAAGACAAAAATGAAAATAAATCAGTTACTGATTCAGCCTTTCCAACTTGTAGAAAATATGGCTTCAACCTCTCTGGATTTGCATAATGAAAAGAAAAAGGACACCTGTGCTTGTCTATCTCAGGAATGCCCCTGGCCTGTCTCTGTAATGATATACTCTAATTTCAGTTATATGTCTGAAAATTGACTGTGTATTTATTAACTAATCAAGAAAAAAATATGACAGGATTTGATCACTGGATTTGATCAGGTATATTTTACAAAGTAAACATAACTTTTTCTTTAAATTGTGTCCCTAATTAAATGAAACTAAGGTTTCTAAGTAGTTATTTTGACTCCTGTAATTCCTTTTAGTTTAGTTCCTATTTTAGGTAGTTTTGTTTTGTTTTGTTTTTCAGAGGTAACACACTACAAACCACTTTTCCTTAAGAAATGTTGGTTCTCTTATAGTTCTATCCCAATCAAAAGTCAGGAGTAAGAAACAACAGTGGTGTTTTCTTTAGACCAATTCTTCAACCTTAAGTCAACATAACTGCAAGAAAAACAGAATCTTCAACGTCATTCCTTTTTATGAGTCCAGTGTGATCACTGAATTATTTTAATTAAAAATTCAAATGCTTTAAATCAGATTTCATAGTCTTCATTTTTTTTTTTAACAAAATGATCATCTGCAACTTAAGAGAAGATCTTTCAAATTGGCAACACTTCTACCTGCTTTATTTTTAGCCCTATCATAGGACTCGGCAAGTACTTCCTTCATACCTGGTTTTCTCTAACCACCAAGGCAGACAGTAATGGGTCAATATAAGAGGACATTCTCATCTGTTACCTTCCTATGCTTAATAGAGAAAAGAGAATGCATTTCTAATAGGAGCTAATAGCATGGAGAAGCTCTTTATTTTATTTTTTTTTCTAAGATTTTATTTATTTATTTGACAGACAGAGATCACAGGTAGGCAGAGAGGCAGCCAGAGAGAGAGGAAGGGAAGCAGGCTCCCTGCTGAGAGCCCGATGTGGGGCTTGATCCCAGGACCCTGGGATCATGACCTGAGCCGAAGGCAGAGGCTTTAACCCACCTAGCCACCCAGGCGCCCCTGGAGAAGCTCTTTAATCAGGTCTTTTAATATGTCTTAAATTTATATAAAATACCATGTTTTCAAATCAAATATGTAAACACATTTTAAACCCAAGAATAAATCTTTTAAGCAGGTTTTTTCTTTTATAACTGTGATCCATGATTTTTCTCCCCTCTAAAAATTAACATAATAAACTGTCCATTCTGCAGTTTTTAACTGAGGTGTTCTGCCAGTCTTATTAGTATGTGATTTAAGTTTTGTTCATGAAACAAAAAACATAAAACAATTTGGACCAATTCCACCTGGGTGGCTCAGTGGGTTAAAGCCTCTGCCTTTGGCTCAGGTCATGATCCTGGGGTCCTGGGATCAAGCCCCACATGGGGCTCTCTGCTCAGTGGGGAGTCTGCTTCCTCCTCTCTCTCTGCCTGCCTCTCTTACTTGTGATCTCTGTCAAATGAATAAATTTTTTAAAATCTTAAAAAAAAACCCAAAATTTGGTCCTCACATCCCAATCATTTTCCAAGAGATCCACTGTAGAACAGGGAATAAAACTTGAATCTCAGGTGAACAAAAAGAACTGTAAGAATTTTACCTGAATTATAAGAAGTTTTTTTTTCATTCCTAGAAAACCCGAATTACTAGTACTTCATTCTTCATTACCATTTCAATCATAGAGAGATCTCATGCACGCACTCCATTTTTATATGTTGTATGTAATATAGTAATATTTTTTTTTAAAGATTTTGTTTATTTATTTGACAGAGATCACAAGCAGGCAGAGAGGCAGGCAGAGAGAGAGAGGAGGAAGCAGGCTCCCCGCTGAGCAGAGAGCCTGATGCGGGGCTCGATCCCAAGACCCTGGGATCATGACCTGAGCGGAAGGCAGAGGCCTTAACCCACTGAGCCACCCAGGTGCCCCAATAGTAATATTTTTATACATTGTGAGTAATAAAGCTGCATAAGCAAACTATGAGGTTTAAGTATACGTGAATATTATTCCCTAAGAAGAGACAATGATTACAAAGTCAAGAGTGAACACTGTCTGATAAGGGATAAAATGTAAAAGCAACTTGTGTTATTCAACAATCACTTAATGAGAGCCTATCTTGTACATAAAGCCCTATGCCAGCTATATGAACGATGCAAATATTAGAAATACAAAACACTACAGGCTAAAGTTGAGTGTTCAAAAATTATATATGAATTAGGAAACTTGAGAATTGAGAGAACAAATAGATCACTTCTAGCTAGGATAAAGCTGGCAGCATTTAATCCTTTTTAGTTTCCAAACCAAGTATTTCAGGAGTTATATAGGGGGGAAAAAAAAGACAAATGGGGAAGCTACTCTTCTGAGCGCTTTAAAAGCTCTGGATCTAAACCTGGGGCCACTTCATAATGGTTGCATAACAGTAACATTTCAATCATGTCAGGTATTGAAATGTTAAATAGCCTTTCTAATGTGCACAGATCAAATAATTTGAGCATATGAAATACAAGGTTGCTTTTGTCTTTTCCTTTATGTCTCCTATTTATTAAAGGAGACAGGCAAACAAGTTTAGGATATAGAAAACTGGTTCTTAATATGGTAGAATTCTATGGTATTTAGGTAATTAATTTTTTATATCGTTTAACCAAAAAAAGTGTAGATTCAATGACAAATCCATAGAAAGCAATACCATATATAATTTTTAATAACCATAAAAGCACCATTATATAGGACACTCAAAATAATATTTCACAGAACATTAGAAAGAAGCTGTTGGCCAACAAGAAATAAAGCATACATCCTATATGGTCTTACTTATCATGGTCTCCCACCAAATTAATCTGATTCTAACCTGATGAAATTTAACTTGGAATCATAAATTCAGAATTGGTATAAGAGGGACATTCCAGAGTTGTGGCAGAACTTTATTGTCTTAATGCTACATAAAACACCAAGACTGGTCATTTTCCAGCGGGCATGGCTTTGACATACCCTTGTATGATTTCTGTCTTGGGATGTTTAATTATTTGCACTCCCAAACATTTGGGCAGCCATCTGATCACACACATGTTTATTAATAGGCATAATTTTAAAAAACTGCTTAACTCTTCCTCTTAAAAATTCATGTTTTATAAAGTCAGGCTTCTTTTATTTACATGGTTAGCACAACAGCCAAAAGTTAATCAGGTTTACTCTTATTCAGTAAAGTGGTAGTTAAAACCAAGATGTGACTTTAAATAATGACACTGATTTTCCTCACCTTGTTCAGCTGTTAAGGATCTGACAGGGGCTCCTGGGTGGTTCAGTCGGTAGGGCACCCAACTCTTGATTTCAGCTCAGGTCATATCTCAGGGTCATGAGATTGAGCCCCACGGTGGGCTCCATGCTGAGCAAGGAGCATGTTAAGACACTCTCTCCCTCTCCCTCTGCCCTTCCCTGGCTCTCTCACTCTCTGTCTCTAAAAAAAAATTTTAAAAGAAGGATCCAATATTTTTAACAATGACACATCACTAGAATAAAGGAATAATTTCCCCAAGTATCTACTTTGAAGGACAATATTCCCTTAGATGTATGCTCTCTGGCATGTGCATTTTAAGGGAAAATCAGTATCATCATGACAGCCACACATCTCACATTTTGGGATACATAGATTATCAAAGTAGCAATGGCACTAATATTTTTCCTGCCTCCCACTTCTCCCCCACCTTTCCAACTTTCCTGATGAAGATGAATTTCCTGGAAAAGCAGATTACTTCAGAGAAAGTGGTACTAAAGCTTCTATATATCGAACTTAGGTGACTGCGTATGTGCATGGGTACGTTCTCAGGTTTCTGTTTCCAATTTCTGGTCTCCCTAGGGAAAGGGACTTTGTTTAATCAAGTCAGCAGAATTCCCCGCATCAGACCATGCATATAGGATCACTGTAACAAATGCTTGTTGAAGATGAGTATAATGACTTCTGCTCAAAAACTTTCAGGTCCGACTATTTACACTGGAATTAGAGCTCTGAGGAAAACCAAACAAAGAATAAATACCAAAATTTGCAGTTAAAAACTGATTTAGGAAAATTTCGATTGCAGGTAAGATAGGCCTCTAATATCCATGGTGACAGCCACCTCTTCTGTTAAAGGAGCCCTCATTTGTGAAGCCCCCAGGAGCCCTCCGGTTGGGAAACTCAGCATACGGATTCCAGTATCGTGCGCCGTTGGAAGGTGAGGCGTTATTCCTGTCCTGGTTTCTGTTCATTCTGCCAGGCTTTTCTGCATGAAGCACGCTGTGAAAGGTAACACCGTGTTCATACCGCTCCTTCATTCGGTGTATTTTTTCTCTGGGGACTCCATGAATGTTTCTTCTACGTGAGAACAAATGCAAACATTTACTTAAGGCAGCGTATTATCCAAAGGAGTTACTTGTATTTTACATAGAGATGCACTCCCTCCGATTTAACTCTCACAGAAGCCTAGTCTCCTTAAGGAGTTATCTTTCAGGCTCCACTGCTGTTTTGCATTCCACCCTGAGGCTAGCAAAGAGTAAGAGCTTCACCAAGGCTTATTCCCGGAAATCTCAATTTGGTGCCTCAAGACATAAAAGAACACTGGGAGCCCTTTTTATTATATATTTTTCTGTTAATCATGCATATCTTTATAATCAATTCATGTCAGTCCTAGACACTTCTAGATGCTAATTAAAATCTTACATTCAAGTGGGCATGAGAATCCACTGGGGATATAGCTGAAATGCAATCACCAGAGATTCTCTGAAGAAGGCCAGGCAGTGAACTAGGATTTCAACAACCCCCTCAAGCAGTCCTGATGTGGGTGGGCCACAGGCCCACTCTGGAAACGCTATCTGCTTGTAACCATAGAATGAACTAGCCTTATTCCTAAAAAGTAAATTCTGATCTCACTGATCACTTTAAATCACTGGCATTATCTAGTAACACAGATAGTGAACATCAGAACTCAAGCACTCAGTCAAGTTAGTATTACTTGGACACGTATTGCTTTATAAATTAGAAGCAGCATCTAGACCATAAATGAACCACAGACTGTTGAACAACTAAAGATCTTTATTTAGCCTAAACGCAGAAACACCACTGACATGTGCAATCCCATGCAGAGAAAAGTGCTTTCAAACGCTCATTAATGAAGAAGCATTTCAGCGGAAAGTTAAATGTGTCCTTTAAAAGGACTAAGTCCAAGCCATGGTTTAGCATTTAGCATTATATTAGAAAACTGACCCAAAACTAAAGTCTTCACATTAATAATGCCAAAGTTATCAATTTCCAAGAATTACCATTTCTGGCCTGAAAACTACCATGTCCATTTCCAGCCTGAAAAGATTCTTTTGTTCGGTCTGAAATACCTGAAAATAGCAGGATACATAATGAGGAACTAGAAAAACAAAGAAGTACCTTGCTAACTCTTGAACGTTGAATTTCCAGCGAGTGTCAGGTTCTCGGAATATAACTTCATAGTTATTTTCAAGTGCCTGATTTTTCAAAAGTACATAAAACATTGAAGACATGGTATGTATGTTTGGGAATGTTTATGCTGCCATTTCACATTTACTACAAATCCTTTCTACAATTCCTCTGTTTTTACCAGAAATCCAAGGCCTGAGTTTATCTTAACAAGTACAGTTGGTTCATTTCCATACTTAGCCACTCTCAGATTTTATTTTGGTTCCCAGTGATAAATTTTAGTCCATTTTATCTACTATGTAGGAAAAGTTTAATGGTTCTTTGTTTTGGACATTTAAAAAAAAATAGATAGCTGAACTCATTGTAAATATCCTAGTTATAGGTATGAGAAATGCATTCAGTGGCTTCTCAAAGTCCCTAATATGATTTTCATAGAGTTTCTTCTGTCAAATGCTCTGTCCCATCCCTCACACCTTGATTAGAAAGTGAGGGTCCCACAGGAACAGAGCTTATGAAAGAAAAGTGATTTTCCCATACTTTTTACAAACTCTTCCCGCCAAAAGGAACTTCCCCTCTATGCGACACAGTTTGGCTCAGTGTACTTGTGCCCCATTTTTCTCGAGTTTAGAAAATGATTACAGTTTCCATATAAACATCCAATTATTCTTTGCTTTCATAAATTGACTACTACTTTTTTAATCTCAAAATCTGAACTTCATCATTATTGTTTATTGTGTTCTAAAACACAGAATGAAAAGAGCAAAGTAAAAAGATTTCCTCTTCATTCTTGAGATGGACTCCTCTAGTTAGAGAAGGCTTCAAATATCATACATGGAAAATATCTAATTTCTGGGTCTAATAGCTGTGGATGGCTGAAAAAGATTGTACATTCCAGATAATATAAAATAAGAAAGGAGGGGTGCCTGGGTGGCTCGGTGGGTTGGGGCCTCTGTCTTCAGCTCAGGTCATGATCTCAGGGTCCTAGGATCGAGCCCCGCATCGGGCTCTCTGCTCAGCAGGAAGCCTGCTTCTCCCTTTCTCTCTGCCTGCCTCTCTGTCTACTTGTGATCTCTGTCTGTCAAATAAATAAATAAAATCTTTAAAAAAAAAAAAAAAAGAAAGGAAAATGTCCTCCCTCAAGCCACTCTCCACTAACTCTTGGTTTTGAGTCATGCCTTAATTAGACTATTCCTGTTCATTTCTCTACCAAGCGGACTCTTGGTCCACGAACTGAAGTAACCACAAAGCTGATGTTCATTCCTTCCTACATCCACCCAAGGTCCCACAGGCTGGGCCCAAGTTACCCCGATGGACATACAATTCGAGAAAAGCACACCTGTATAGAAGCTAGTTTGCCCCCAAATTAAAAAGAAGCCACAAATAGATGGGCCACGAGCCCCGTTTCAGAGATATTCCCTTGACAGTTAGCCAAGTGGGGACTGCGCGTGACAAAATGGCACTACGCAGCTGCCTTCTTCCTGCCCTGTGTGTCTCAGGATCTTTTCTCCGGTGTATATACCCCATGGGAAGTGAAACTTATTACCATAAGAGGTGAAATACGTCTGAAAAAAAAAAATCAGATATATTTCAAAATTAAAAATATGCACAGTTTTATTCATCTTACTGTTCTTTCCTATTCCGACAATAGAGAGCTGAGTTGTTATCTTTGTATATTTATATTCTAATATCCTTTACAGTGCTAACCCTCAATCTGTTCTTAAGCCCCCCAAAATAAATAAACAAATAAAAAGTGGCCCAGACTCTCCCACGGCAACACCACCCAGTACTGAAATCCCTGGCTTGCCAAAGACGGAAAAGTGTCTTATTATCATCCACCACTCGGCTAGCATAGTCCATCCAGTTTCTCTGCAAGTCTCAGAGGGCGCTCCTGTGCACGTATGTCTCCTCTTGGGAAAACAATCAAGACAGAAGAATTCGCAAGAATTGGGACCAAGGAGGATTTAAAAACGTACCCTGAGGTGATATTAGCATCTCAGCGAATTTCAGCCATCGAACAACAGAGAAACCCTAAAAGAAAACCTCTTTACCTGCACCCTGAGAGAGCTACGATTAATAAAGATGAGATCATGGCAGATCAGAAGAAGAGGAAAGAACAAATGTTGCAACTTTCTCACAAAATGTCCATAACTGAAAATTCAGAATGATGCTTCTTCCTACCATGACTGCATAGGGCTTCATTTCCCAGGCGTGGAGGTTGGTATTATCAATAATAATGGGGGATATGCCATTCCTCATTGCTTTTCTGGCTGCAACACAACGGTACATAACAGTGAACAACATGCAATGATCAGAAGGGTGAGCGTACTCCGTATTTTGTTATTTTCTTATCACAGGTGTCCTCATTACACAACTTTAGTGCCACATATTTCAGAACCCATTACCAATCCTTTTCTTTTTCCTGGAATCTAGGGAGTTTATGCTCTGACATTCTGTTTGGGGGCACAGGGGAAAATGGCAGAACTTTTGATTACGCTCCTTCTCGAAAACGTACTCATTCTGCAGCAGCTACAATCTATGTGCACAATAGGATTTCCCGGGGAATTTGGAAAGGAATTTGTCACCTCTTTTCTGGTTCCACTCATGTGCTTCCTCCAGGAAGTCGGGATTGAACTCATAGGCACCGTCTTCCCTGAAGAAATAGTCATCCGTGCTGAAAATCAGGGCCCTGGGAAAGTCGTGTTGCAATTGTCTAGAAAGTGGGGAAATAAGAGATTGCTTTATGATTATGCACAGCCATTATAGAGATTATTTCCTTCCATCGCCAACATTCAGCAGCTTGTAATTATGAGGCCACCGGGTTGCATGTTGTTGAAACTCAATTTAAGGAGAGAGATGTTTATCATCTCTAGAAGGTACCAGTCCTTCACAGGAGGCAGCCCTGCCCTTCCCCCCATCTCTCACCTGTTCCGGATCCCAGCTCCGTGGAGTTTTGGTCTCTGTAACAACCCACCTGAGACACTAGTTCTTGATGATGTATGAGAGGCGGATAAAAGGGCTGCGTGTGTGTACAACCCCTATCCAGGTAACAGTTTACATCTTATCAGTGACCTACACCAAGTGAGAATAAGCACACTGGAAGGCAAGAGGTAGAGCCAGCCTTCCCCAGGCCTTCTTAAACTACTCTCTCACACTCTCAAAATATGAAAAAGTCACAGAAAAAAAGGAAAAGGAGTGTCCCCTTTAAAACAAAGCAAAACAATAAAAAAGCTATTAAATTCTGCACAAAATCACTTCCAAGAGAAGAGATTTCCACTTAAAATCCTTATTCAGGGGCGGCTGGGTGGCTCAGTGGGTTAAAGCCTCTGCCTTCAGCTCAGGTCATGGTCTCAGGGTCCTGGGATTGAGCCCCACATCGGGCTCTCTGCTCAGTGAGGAGCCTGCTTCCCCCCTCTCTCTCTGCCTGCCTCTCTGCCTACTTGTGATCTCTCTCTCTGTGTCAAATAAATAAATAAAATACTTTTAAAAAAATAAAATAAAATCCTTATTCAGACAATTTGGGGAGAAGGTGGATATGACAGTAGGTAATAACTGGGTAAATCTCTGAGCCTCCTCTCATCTTTAGAAATGAAGGATGATTCCCCCATCCTGCTAGGTTACCACACTGATCTGATAACATGGGGAGTCACAGGTGCAGTGCCCAACGCAACGAGTGTCCGTTTCTTTCCTTCATCCCTGTGGCACCAATAAAAATTCAGCAAGCAACCAGAACATAGGACCAAACGGATATGCTCAGAACAGGGTTGCCTGGGTGGCTCAGTCGGTTAAGTGGCTGCCTTCAGTTCAAATCATGATCCCAGGGTTCTGGGATGGAGCCCCACGTCAGGCTCTCTGCTCAGCAGTGAGTCTGCTTCTCCCTCCCTCTCTCTCTCTCTGCCTGCCGCTCTGCCTACTTGTGTTCTACTTCATCTCTCTGTCAAATAAATAAATAAATATCTTTTAAAAGGGGGGTGGGAATAAAAAGGAAAAAGGAGAATGACAAGGACAGGAAATGCAAGGAGAAAGCAGAGCTGCTCAACTGTTGTACGTTTGTCCTTCTCTGGGAGGAAAAGCTCTCCTTGATCAGGACGGAGCAGGGTATGTGTAAGGCACCAGAGCCCTGATCTTACACAAGCTCCTAAATTGCTCTGAAAGGCTTGGGTTGAATTCTAGACTCTTCTCTACCCAGTCAGGTGACCTCTCTCTCTCTCTCTCTCTCTCTCTCTAAACGTTTCCCTGACCGAAAACCACAGATAAGCATCACCACCTATGAAATGGAGCTTTGAATGAGGCTCAGATGAGAGCAGATCTGAGGAAACGTTTTGCAAATGGTGAGGCATCTTGACAGTGTGAAGTACTATTATTGTATTAATAGTTATAACGCACATGATCAAATTTACCAACCCCAGGGGTAGATGTGCCACGTTGTAAAATACGATGGAGTGTGTATGTAATCTTGAAATTACTGCAAGGGAATTCGTTTGGCAGTGAGTGAAAGAGATGAAAAACCAAAATAAAGCAAACACCTCAGTGTTCAAGAAGGAGTGAACACATTCCAGAAACAGAAAACAAACTTCTCTGTCAAAATTCTTCAGCAGGCTTGATAGCATTTAAAAAGAACACAGCATTGGGGCGCCTGGGTGGCTCAGTGCGTTAAGCCTCTGCCTTCGGCTCTGGTCATGATCCCGGGGTCCTGGAATCGAGCCCCACATCAGGTTCTCTGCTCGGCGGGGCGCCTGCTTCCTCCCCTCTCTCTCTGCCTGCCTCTCTGCCTACTTGTGATCTCTCTCTGTCAAATAAATAAATTCTTAAAAAAAAAAAAGAACACAGCATAGCTGATGGGCTGAGTTGGTAAATGGAAACATTCAATGTGCATAATCTCACATCTTGATTTAAACAGGAATCTGATGGTGTCTCTCATGGCCTTGTGGAAAAATGTAGACGAGAAGATGGTGTATTTTAATACCCAGAGAATATTAGATAATTATCCAACTCATTAAACATTTACTGAGCATTTAATATATGCCAAGTACAGGGTGAAGCGTTAAGGTACCAAAAGAAAACAAAGTAGCTGCTTTCAAGGAATTCACAGCCTAGCCAAGGAGCCAGACACAGACGACCTCACAGTCAGTGTAAAGAGCTGTACAGATGAAGGACAAGAGAACTTGGAGTCAGGAACAAGTTCAGATAGCGAAACATTAAAAGGCGACCCCAGTGGACTTGGATCCCGAGACACGAGAAAATTCCGCCGCTGGAGAAGGGGGTTAAAAGCAAGAGCAGTAAAGCTCAGGCTTCAGGGCCTGTTACGAGAACGGAGCTCTAGGGGAAAAATAAGAGCAAGTTAAAAGGGGCAAATCATATTTGCAGCGGTTTTCCATTCGGAGTGCTACACAATGTAAGAGAGATTTGCTAAGCTGGACTAGGTCCAGAAAAGAGTGACCAGGTCAGTGTAAGATCTAAAAACCATGGAAACCACGTCAGATGAGAAGAGATCATCAAAGGGATGTGGGGTGCTTAAAGTGGGGACAGATGATCAGAGTGATTCCTGATAGGGCTCCCAGCTCAAGAAGCCTGTTGGTGGAAAGGTAATGACCTGAGTTCACGGATCAGCAGTTTGGGTTGGGCTCATGGGGGCAGTTCTGCCTGTCTTGCCTGGGACCATTCACACAGCCACAGTCTTCTGACAATGGACATGCTGAGTGTTCTCCGTGGGCCTCATCCGTTCACGTGTGGCTGCCTTTTCGGCCCGCGTGGTCTCCCGACCTCAGGGAGGTTAACCCAGGCCTCTTCACACCCCCAGCCATTCAGAGGGCAGGAGTGCAAGCAGTTAGGCTTCGGCCACGTTCTGCTGCTCAAAGCAAGGTGCTGTGGGGGCCCCCAGTGAAAGGGGAGGGAACTAAACCACGGGAGAGGTGGCAAGGAAAGGCGGCCACTTAGACTCTACCACGGATGCAGAGAGTGACACAAAAAAAAAGTATGAAGGAGGTTTGATGAAACCAGTTTTCCTCATTTGCATGTAGGTCTTTTATTTGACTTTAAAGATACTCAAGCTGAAAAGCCCAAATTAAGTCCAAATTTTAACCTCCAAGGCAAACAGTGATTATGACAACACCTTAGAAAAAAATCTAAAGCAGCACTGAGAGGAGCCTGGGCGGCGCCGCGGATTATGCAACTGACTCCTGATTTCAGCTCAGGTCACGCAGTCAGGGTCATGAGACTGGGCTCAGTGCTGAGCTGGCTTGAGTCTCTCTCCCTCTGCCCCCTGTCTGCACACACACACACACACACACACACACACACACACACGCTCTCTCTCTCTCTCTCGCTCTCTCAAATAAATGAATCTTTAAAAGCAGCCCTAAGTCCGTGTGTATTTTATATTTGTGGCTATTTTACAGTTCCTAAATTATTTTCATTAATGTTACCTAGTCTAAATAATGAAAGCTGCATTCAGAAGTTCAATAACAGTGCATAACTTATTTTCCTTATCTTTGTATATATACTATGTTAAGCAAAGTTATGGATATTGGTTCCAAGAGTTTTGTTTTGTTTTTGTTTTTCTTTTTGGTTCCAGATTTGCTACCCTTCTAAATCTGGTTTCGTTTGTTTTCTTATTAAGTATGCCATTCATAGGTTTCATTGTGGTCTTTTACCATTTTCAGGGTTGAATTTTTCTTCTCATGTACATAGTCTGGTCTACTTTCGTTTTCCTCTTTAAGGCTTATATTATCTATTGGAAGTTAAGATTCTCACTCTCTAATGTTTCCTTTTAAAAAGCTTTAAGACATGAATGTCCAATTCACATTTTATTTCAATACTATTCCAGAAAACAAAACACACACACACACACACATACACACACACACACACAAGACAAACTACTGCCCTGGATTGTAAAATTCTGCCTTAGAGTAAAAGTTACATTGTTCAGGGCCCCCATGGGGCTAGACCACTGCTCATCATTTCCTGAGAGATATATGACTATAGTCTCACTGGTCCTCCTAACCAACAGGCAGGCAAAAATATGAGCGTTTTCACCTTTACAGCTCTCACAGAAGCTGGGGAGGCTGGAGGGGGGAGTGGGAGATTTGTCTGTGTGATCTTCCTGAATGATCATTCCTTTCAAAACCTTGTTTTTACCTTCAGCTGAATGTCAAATTAGCACTGGCAGGTACAGTAGCATCTGAAATCTGCAGGACAATAAAAGCTCTCCTAGCTACACAAAGAACTGATGAAACAGACAAATCTTGAATTTCTCAAACATAGGTGGAAGCAATAAATACCATTCCATTGGCTTCAGAAGTGATGAGGACAGTGCATCAGCTCTAGCTTTCTTTATGGTCAGGAGCCTCATGCATCGGGTAAATGAAGAGAATGAAAATAAGAGAAAAGGAAAAAATGGAAAGACATTACTTCCACGTAACTTTCACTTCCACAGCTCCCTCCGCAACTCACTGAAAATCACTGCTATGAGAGAAATTCGGGTACTAATCTTGATTTCAAACTTCTCACTCTTCTGTGTAATTTTTTGCTTAATAACAAATACCCATGAGAACATATTTAGCTATCTATTGGTCACTCACTCGCTGACAAATCCAACGTTACTATGTAATTGTGAGTTGCACCCTCAACTTTTCTGTGGAAGTCTCCCAACATGCAAAAGTAGACAGGGTAATACAATCAGACAGACTAATACAATCACTTCCTGCGGAC